ATTTGCCGTGAAAGAATAGTTAATTAAAAAAGATATCATGTGTCAAGATTGTTTAAACATGGCATCAAACGTTAACAATATTAGAGGTTAATAAAGAAAATTAACTAATTTGAACATTTTTAAAAAATATATGCACTAATTTAATATAAAATTGAGATAAAAATCAAATTGGACCAAACATTAATATAGTAACTTAAAATATATTTCAGTCTTCAAATTTTATTAGAATTAATAAAATTTATAATATATATTTATTTTTATATAAAATTTTATACTTTATAAAAAAAAATAATCTATGTAATATCCAAGTAGAGACAAATATATATATATGTAATATCCAAGAGGTAAATATATATATGTATATCTATATATAATTAAATAACAAAAAAAAGAAAGAAAGAGATGAGAGATCAAGAAGGGAGAGATGCAATTGTGAGAAGAGAGAGGGTTGAGCGACATCGATGATCGAGAGAGAAGGGTCTTACCATGTTGCGCGACGCAGCAGAAGAGAGAGAAAGGAAATGAGGCACGACAGCCATGGCGCATACAACGGTGGAGAGAGGAAGCGGTTGCAGGGAAGAAGAATAAAGAAAAGAAAAAAAAGGCAGAAAAGAAGTAGGAGAAGAAGAGAAAGAAGAATCATGTCAGGTAGAGAGAGAGAGAGAGAAGAAGAAGAAGAAATGAAAAGAAAGAAGAAGAATAAATGAAAAAAAAGGAGAGAAAAGAAGAAAAAAAAAGAGGAGAGGGAAAAGCCATGGGGAAGAGGAAGGAAGAAGAAAAGAATAAAAGAAAAAAATGATGAAAGAAAAGAAAAAAAAGAAGAAAAAAAATTAATTAAGGAAGAAAAATGGAGGGGTGGCTACTAAATATGATGTTGGTGCGCCGCATATGACAACGCACATTGATTTGATCATTAGCGTCTGATATTTTCGGTGACACACGTATGATGACGCGTGGTGGCGCTAGCGACTGGGACCGCATGTCCAAAAGTAAAATATATTCATAATTTTATTTATATAGTTTCCAAAATTATTCATAATTTAATATATGTGTTTCTATTATAAATAAAAAAAATTATCCAAACAGTATTCAGATTTTCGATAGGACCGTAAAACGAGATAGAAAAGATTTTCAGAACTTTTCTGATCATACAATAGGTAAGAATTATGTGTATTCCATACGGAGACATAAATTATATATTTATGTAAATGTGTATATGTATAGTGTATTTGTGTGAATGTTTAAATATATGTGTAGTATAATAAGAATATAATTAGTATGTCTAATTTGTATTTATTTGTATTCATGTATGTGTGTGTGTACATATATGTTGTTACGCATGTATATATGTGTGTATATAAATATATGATGAATGTAATATGAATTTATAAGAACAGAGCTGATAAGAACAAATATGTGAATATATATATCTGGTATGTTATGTGTGATGTATATACGTGTTTAAGTATTAACATGTGTGTATATATCGATAGAGATTGTATGTATGTGAATATAAATATATCTGATATGTAAGACATGTAGTGAAGGTACATGTCTGTATTATAATATATGTGTGTGTATTAAAATATGTGTACATATGTTATGTATGTGAAATGTATAACTAGTGTGTGTATGTGTGAAATTGGGTACACTGCACTAGCTATATGATCTGGTGTAGATGTACAATACATTGTACTTGATGTGTGATTTGGTACAGTTGCACGAGAAATCTGAGTATCATGTACTTGCTGTGTGATCTAGTACACGATGATTCAGAAGTGCTTTGAAATGTATAGTTTTGATGTGCATGATGATATTGTATATTTTGTGTGTGAGTGTTTGTGTTTAATTAAGCATAAAAATTAAGATCTTAGGTAGGAAATAAGTGAATTAGAAATGAGAGAGATTTGAAAAGAGTGTAGAGTGTAAGAACTCTGAATACTTACTCATTTAGTTTGTATCGAGGAGGAGAAAGTGTGTGTGTGGCTGAAGTTCAGTGGGTATAGTGAACCTGCATATGGATAGAGTTTGAAACCTAATTCAGACGTAAATAGATATTTGTGAGTGTGAGTCACCTAACAAACGTATCTGTTGTGACCATTGTGAAATTTATGTGTGTATATTATCCATGCGATAGAAGGATCCATTTCGCCTCTCATCGACGACGATATAAACAGTATCGCGCGATGAAACCTTAGATGTTATATCTCGAATATATTGTGATATTTCGAGTATAAGTTTGATTTCAAAGGAGAATAAGAATTAGGTTAAAAGAGTAAAGATTAGGATGTGTTTCGTATGATGATTTGTTTTGTCGTGTACTTTAATTAAGATGCTTTATTTAACATTTTCTTGATTATAAATATTATTATATTTTAAATATTGCGTGAATGTATGTACGTAAGTCTCCATTATAGAATCATTTTTTTTACTGAGCTCATGAAATTCATCCAAATTCACCATCATCCAGGTTAGATAAAGTCAAAGATCAAAGGAAGATGACGAAAAAATTTTTATTAGTATTTATTTTAATATTATAAATTAATTTAGATACTTCAATTATGTGTAAATAAATAATTATTCAGTCACAAGGGATATGTATCAAAGTGTAGTCATGTTGCATATTTAATATTTATTTATTCCACTAATTGAAAATATTGTGCTAATGTTCGTACTCATTGACATTAAAGTTCGAGATGTTACAATCTATATATAAATAAATTTTAAAATTTTTAAATATATTTCAGGAATAGTCTAAAAATTATGGACGAAAATAACATGAATAGTATTTAAAAACTTGAATAATATTGAATGATTAAGTCTAGTATAATAGACTAGTAGTGATCTTTAAAAGTAGAGGATCTAAAAGCACATAGAAATAATCTCAGATTGGGAATTTTATCAAAATATTATTTTATATACCATATATTCCCCAATAAATAAAGTAATACTAATATCCAGTGAAATGATTCTTTGACCATATACGTACACCAATCAAATATTCTTAACTAATAAATATTGGTTGAAAATTTTATTCCATCAATTAAGGGAAAAAAGTAGAAATTGCTGTATTTTGTTTATTGATACCAAGACCTCATCAGTCAGCATGGGTTAAAAGATACATGGAATATATTCCTCTGCCACGTATATCGTCAAAAATGCTACCATGCATTACCTTTCAATATTATTGCCTTTTGCTGGAATAACATTTTCCTCATATATATGCTACCTGCTCCTCATTGCAATTATATTCATCATCAACTTCATTATCTATGTATACACACACACATACACACACACACACGACTGTAATGTAAAACCATTACATATTAGAAAACATGTGTGTTTGTGTGTGTGTATGAAACGCAACAGATGAAATATTGCCAAAGAGACTTGCATATGAAGAGGTGGAGAGTATAATGCAGCCAAGGATGACTTGCCGGCTCAGCATATATATCATATGTGTGTGTGTGTAAGGGCACGCTTGATCTGTTGTCGGCCGGCAAGTTGTTCTTGGCTACATCGTGCTCTCTTCTCCTCATGCGAGGCTTTAGTGGCACATTCTTTTTTACTATTTTCTACATAGAAAATACGTTTGTACGTTGATGATAGACATGTGTGCATATATATATACATATATATACACACACACACGCACATACATACTTATAAGGATGCCAGGAAAAGGGTCTAATATCAATGGGCAACTTGAACCCCCGCCCAAACACTATAACGCCACTCTCACCGAGTTAGGCTCAGCTCCTGAGGCCCAGATTGAGGCGCAGGCCACTTGTTATTTAATGCTATTTTATTACTCTGGGACCTGAATGGAAATTTAAAAAAAAAAAACAAATGGGAAAGTTATTTATCCGACAGCACAAGAAAAAAAAAGACCAATCAATGACTTTGCCTCTTATTATGATAATAAATAAATAAATAAATAGATATATAAGTTATTCGTTCCTTAATCAAGTCAATCAATTAGAACGTACCTTTT